ACCACAGGATTTCTATTATGTTCTAGCGTACAAATTTTCCAGAGGAATGTTCTACTGTGTCTCATTTTTTTTTTTAAATTTTTTATTAAAAGAGTTTTTCGAGGATTTGGAAAGAGATTTGAAGAATTGTTAAAAGCCCAGAAATAAGATTGACTTCAGTCTTTTAAGATATTCTAGCTCAAAAACTTTAAAAGCTAAGTATATCTTGACGTAAAGATGCTAATCAATGAAGATAGTCTTATATTGCGGGAAGGCATTTAATCAGAAGTGTCCCAAGCGGGAGTCGAAAGTCGCCCCTTTTCCTAATTTTAAGAAATGGCCGGTTTTTTCTAGCGTCGTATTCGTGTTTTTGCTCAGTAATTCTCAAAAAAAAACTGCTCAAATCTCTCTGCAATCCTGGTGACACCCCTGGATTTCATTTTATGTAGTGATAACTAATGAATAGAACTACAATAATGTCAGTTATATTAAAAGGATTTGTGAAGCAATGGTATGAACTACGCAAATAAATAACATACGAAAATACTAAGCAAATATATGACAAAATCGAGCAATATACGTGTCAACTCGTTATTTTAATTTTCTCTTTTTTATTGGTGTTTTAGTAAAGGATATCACTATAACTAAGTCATGTATTTGAATATTTCAGTAAAAGAAATCTTTGATTACATTAGAACTTGTTGTTGTTGTTTTTTTTAAATATCTGTATATATTCTTGAATACTCTCAATTATTTTAAAAACATCATTTTGAAGTGTAAACTAGTGTCATCTATTATAAGTATGCCGATAATTTTATATTCTATCTACGGTAAAATCTTATTATTAAATAGACTTATTTCAATTTTATAAAATCACATTTTGAAATAAGTTCTTAACTATCGTGTGTCGAACCTCTACCATATGTTCTGATAAAGTAAGATAACGATGGTGCTTTGAAACAATAAAAATAGTGGTCACATCTTAGTGTAAAAAACAGGCATACATATATTGCATGTTAATCAATAAAGCGCCACCTGCTACGTAAATTATTTCATTGATGACATTTGACTTCTGTTTTCAGATTATTCTATTTATCTTTTACAAGAAGTAGCGAGAATGACTGCTCGCGATCAAATTCGAGCAATGTTGGATCAATTAATGGGAACCGATAATGGTATGTTTAATTAGACTTAAGGAAAAAAAACCATCAAATTCTTGTCTTTTTTGATTAACTATTTTATTGTTTTGTTCATCCGATATCAGAAACAATTCGATTTAAAAGAAAAAAAAAAGAAAATTCTATTCTTAGTTTTATTATGTTAAATGATAAAAACGCTCTTTTTCTCTTCATTGAAGAGAAAAAGAGTGTATAATGTATATACAATTTTTTTTGTTTTTTTTGAAATTGCCTATGACTTATCTACTATCTCATTTTTAATCTGTCACACATTCTCTGTTTTGAACGCTGTGTTTTTAGCTAATGTCATGATGAATATGTCTATGTTGGGTTTAATAAGCTCTGCGAGCAGCAGCTACTACAAAATAAATATCGTGAGTATATATATAAATAATAAATCGAGAAGTGGCTCCTCTGTGTGAGTAAAATATATAATCTATAACATTGAATTGATATCTTAATTTGATATCTTCATTTTTATTGGTTTTATATATTTTTTTTTTGTATTATCTTATGGTTTCGATTAAAAAAAGAAAGAAAACTTTCTTCATAGCATAGAGGGTACGTATTCGAGGAGAATCAGGTAAGTATTCCTGCGTTTATTTTATGAGATATCTAGATATTTAAAAATATATATATATATATGTTCATATCATTGTTATTCTCATATGAAAAAACATATTACAGGTTCAACTAAATCAAGTATGTCGTTTGAAGATCGTCGAGTTTGTCGACCATTTTTATTAAATTGTTGTCCACATGAAATTCTATCTGGAACGGTAAGATTATTTATTCAAATAAAAAAACAAAAACAAAAAAAATTTATTTATTTTTTTGTTTTGATAGCGTGTTGATTTGGGTGAATGTACAAAAATTCATGAATATGCTTTACGTGCAGATTATGAACGAGCAGCAGCTACACGTGATTTATATTATGAAATGGATGTATGTATAAAATATAGAATCAAATTGAAAAATATATATATATGATATTTGCTATTCTTTTCATAATTAGGCATTAGATATGTTGAATAAATTTGTTGCTGAATGTGATCGAAAAACTGAACATGCTAAACGAAAACTTCATGAAACACAAGAAGAATTAGGTGAAGAAGCTGCACGAAAAGTATGTTATTTAATTTAATTTATGATATAAAATATTTTAAAAAAAAAATAATTTAAAATCAATTTTTAGATGAATACTATTCATGAACTTGGTGAACAAATTGGTACAAAATTAGCTAAAGCTGAAGAATTAGGTGCACAAGGTTTAGTTGATGAATCAATGAAATTATTAGAAGAAGTTGAAGCATTAAGAAAAGCTAAATTAGAAGCTGAACAAGAATTTCGTTCAACAATGCCAGCATCAACATATCAACAACAAAAATTACGTGTATGTGAAGTATGTTCAGCTTATTTAGGTATACATGATAATGATCGTCGTTTGGCTGATCATTTTGGTGGAAAATTACATTTGGGTTTTATACAAATACGTGAAAAATTAGCGGATTTAAAAAAACGTGTCAATGATTTAAATGAAAAACGTGATCTTGAAAGACAAAATCGTCGAAAGTAAATACAATATGTTCATAGATTTTTATAAACAAAAAAAAGATAAAAAAATTCTTTTATCTTTTAGTTCACCATCACCATCATCACGAAATAATCGTCGAAATGATGATAGAGATAGAAATAATTATCGTTCATCACATCGTAGTAATAGTCGATCAAAAAAAACTTCTAACAAAGATAAAGATCGACGACGATCACGTTCAAAGTAAAAATATACATATATAATAATTAATAAAATTTTAATATTAAATTTGTTTTTATTTTTCTATTTCTTAGATCTGATCGTCGTTCATCAAAATATTCACGTAGTCATCGTTCACGTTCACGTTCTCATGGTCGACGACATAGTAAACGTTCTCGTTCACGGTAATGTTAAATTTTTAAAAACAATAAAATTTGAAATCATTCTTCGATAGAAAATCATGACCTTAAATGTGTAGATTGATGACATTGATAAAAACAAAAAGATTATTCAAGGATATCCCCAATTTATTTGAAAATGAAAATCAAAACTTATCGACATTTGTGTTTTTTTCTAGTGTATAAGACATTTTTCGATATACCTGATCATGTTTATTTAAGATATGAATGATTCGAAAAGAGTACTGCTCCTTTTTTTTTGCATTTGTTTATCAGTCATATGTGCGCATCTATCAACAACTTTCAATCGATATGCTGGTTATTCTTTAACTAGAAACATCTGGTAGATATAAACAAGAAGAAAACGTTGTTGAAAGTCTATTCAAGGTTTTTTGAAAGAAAAATACTATTTCACTCTTGTCTCTTCAACATGGTAAGAGATATCCAGCTGTAAATTTTGTTTTTTTTACATATACAAGAGTGTATTTGATGTGAATACTTTTTTTTCTATTTAAAAAACTATAGAACTGGTAATTTTTTGATGATTTCTACATGATTTATTATAGTAAAATAAAAAATGTTTTTTTTAATGACTTGTCCAACATTTTAGTTATTCTATTCAAAGAACGAGAGCATCAGAAATTTAAAAAAAAAACAGATCCATCCGAAATAGAGTTCAGCATCTGTTAGAAATGTGATTAACTCGATCGAACATTTGTATCTTGTAGAAGGAAGCATTTCGAAAGTTTGTATCTATGATATCTTTTGCTTTACTCATCAAGATTTGAAAATTTTCTGATAAGTCATTCTATGAAAACTTGATACTCTTAATACAGATCGAACTAGTAAATTTCTGTTCGATTCTATCTCTGATACTTAGAATAAATTAAACATTTTTATTATATTTAGTTCTGGTTCATCACGTCGTCATCGTCGTTCACGATCACATTCTGGAACATCATCATCTAAACGTCATCATCGTCATCAACATCATTCAAAATCACCTGTACACTCATCATCAAATTCAAAATATAATGAAAGCAATGATTCTCAACGTAAAAATAAACCTGATGATAATGTATCAACTAATCATGTTGATGATGATGAAGAAACAACACGTATTCTTGAAAATATTCAAAGAAGTATGACAGAAGATAATATTAATCGTGAACAATAAAAACAATATATATATATAGATACAGATGAAAGAACTTCATTAAATAAATCAAATAAAAAATACACTATGATCTGTATATGTGTGTTTATCATTTGTTTATTTCTTGTTGTGTATGTTAATTGTATTTGTCTTTTCGAAATAGATACACGTCAAACTTGAAGAAAGAAAAAAAAAATACATTTGTTTTTATTATTCCAATATTTATTGTAGATTAAACCAAAAAAAAAAAAAAAAGAAAATATATCTATCAAAATAGAGTTCGATTTTGAATTTCGTCTTACTTGTTATTTAATTATTTGGTTAATATTAATTTTTATTACAATTCTTCTTGCTTGGCATCGTTATAATTGTAGTATTATTCAACAATTGTATAAAAAATGTAAGAAAAAATATAATTGAATAGTCTTAGAAGCATGAAAATGATTGTTCTTGTGTTCGAGAACGTGTTTCTGCATGATTTTGACTGTGAATCATGCAGAGTCGTAATTCTCGTAAGATAAAAATATTCGGATACCATTTTGAAATAATCGTTAAATGATCATTTTAAAAATTTGCCCCGATATATAAAAAATTGAATTTTTTCTTTTCTTTTCTAGCTTCAAATTTTGAATTTCACGGTCGATCACGATCACATAGTTTATTGAAAACATTAAATACAAATTCTATTAGTACCAGCGCCGTTGCTTCTTCAAAAAAACTTGATTAAATAATGTATTGAATTTTATTTTATTCTAATGGACAATCCTGTTTTTTTGGATGAAGAAATTCCATTTGTTGAATCAGGTGTTTATGAAATAGATGAAGCAGGTGGTGGCAGCGGCAATGGTACAACAACAACACTTGGACATGGAAATATTATATCACTTAATCATCAAAGACATCCTTTTGAAGATGATTCAATATGGTCGACAACTATACCTGTTAAACGTGGTCGACGTCCAAAATCGACAACTGTTGTTATAACAACAGCATCAACATCATCAGTACAAAAATCTGAGCCTAAACGACGAGGACGAAAATCGAAACAAGAAATTTTATTATCAACTAAATCTTTATCATCAACAAATAATAATAATAATAATAATTTAAATGATATTCTTTCGGAATCAACTAAAGATATTGAACAAAAACAACAACGACATTCTACAATAGGATTAAAATCAATAAAAAAAACTAAAACTGAAGAACAACAACTTTCTGGTAAATTGATATGATAGATAAGTCCCTCTTTGTTATAGAACAAAGTTCTGTAGGCTGCAAATGCTTTTGAAGCTTCTGAGGTAATATTACAATTGCAAATCATTTTCATAAACATCAGAATTGATTTGAATTTTAAAATTTTCTTAATACTAACTACTGAATCTTTCCTAATTCGATGAGAAATTCTCTATTAGAATACAAAGATCATTGACGCTTGTTTTCATTTAATTTTCTTATCGTTTAGACAACATCAGTTTACGATCAAAACAACCTATAAAATCTTCAACACAATCAGACTCACAACAAATTGGTTCGAGTTTAACAACCAATCAACTTCCAATAACAAGTAATACGTCTACAAATATGAATCTTAGTACAACTGGTAATATTGTTATTATGGGTAGTATTAGTGGAGATAATAAATCAATAAATAATAATCCAACAACATCATATGATCAAGCAGCTATATTACATGCACTTTGTCAAGCAGGTGTTAATCCATTACATCATGATCCAACAGGAGATGATTCAGATACAGATACGGATGATGAAAGTGAATCTGATGATGAATCAATGAATAGTGATAATGAAAATAATCAATTATCAAATATGAATAATAATGTAGCACATTTAATAAATTCAACATCACGTGGACGAACACATCAACAATCAACAAAAAATACGAATAATAATACTAATAATAATAAAAAATCTTCCACAGTACGTCGTTCAACAACAACAAATAATAATAATAAAAAGAAACAAGAAAATCATAATAAAAGTGATACAGATGACGATGATGACGATGATGATGATGATGATGACGATGATTCATCATCATCTAATGAAGATCTTGATGAATTAGGTGTTGGAAATGATACAAATAATAATTTAAGTAGTATTGTTGATTCACTTGATGGTGATTCATCATTAATTGTTCCACCAGATTTTTCTAATCCTGATTATGTACAAAATCTTGTTAAACCACATCGTAAACGTCGTACACATTTACCAACTGATGATCAACCTAAAACAATACGTTGTCCACAATCAGGTTGTACAAAAATGTTTCGTGATACAGCATCAATGAATAAACATTTACATACACATGGTCCACGTAAGAATAACAAAAAAAATAAAATATAAATCATAAATTTTCTTTTATTATTTTCATTTAAGGTGTACATGTATGTCATGAATGTCAAAAATCATTTGTTGAAAGTTCAAAACTACGTCGTCATCAACTTGTACACACTGGTGAAAAAGCATTTCAATGTCCATTTGAAGGATGTGGAAAACGTTTTTCACTTGATTTTAATTTACGTACACATGTTCGAATACATACAGGTGATAAACCTTATGTTTGTCCATTTGATGGTTGTAGTCGTCGTTTTGCCCAATCAACGAATCTCAAACAACATCTTTTAACACATGCAAAAATTCGTTCACATCAACCATTTGCTATTCCAGCTGTGGCTGTTACAATTACAGAAATTCAACCACAGTATTGAAGAAAACTATATATATATATATATATTATATGTATACATATATCTTTAAATATAACGTACCCTTCTTTCTTTTTCATATATGAAATCTATTCTGTTTTGTGTATTTGTGTCTCTATCGATGTGTGTGTATGTTGTTTTTGTACATAAATGTCACATGATCAGCCAGTCAGTCACTCATTCAACTACATCGGTGATGATATATTATTCTCTTCGAGTTTAATGCTATATTGTATACTCTAGAATGGTATGCATCATCAATCTTTATATTCGATTACCTATCTATCGTACATTTTGTTTTTTTGGTTACTTGTTTTAGAAATTATATTCATTCATTCATTCATTCATTCTTCTCAATAAAAACAAAATGATGAGCAAGATTAAGCAATGAAAATTATATTTCCAGAACAAATTTTATTTTATTTTTTTTCTCTTCTAGATATGTCTAATATTAAGAAATTTTTTTCGAAAATAAAAAGTGAAGTAAAATTTGCTAAAGCTGGCGAAGGACATAAATTAAATGAACCAACACCAAATCCTCGATATGTAGAATCACAATCACGTCCTCAAACATCTACAAGACAAAGTTCTGATGGAGGAGCAGCAGCTCGAGCTGCAGCTGAAGCAGCACAACAACGTTTACAACAGCAATTATCTTGGCAACAAGCAGCAGCTCCAAGTAAGAATAAAGAAATTTTTAAAATAAAATTATTTTTGGTAAATTTTAAAAAGTCTACAGAAAATTCCAAAACGAGTAGATTAGACTGACAATTTTGTATTATTTACGAATATATGAGTTGAAAAATTTTCTAAGACTTCTGATTTAGGAATTATTAATAAAATTTTTAGAGACACAAAAATTAAATCTGAACAGATGAGATTATAATTGACTAATTATTTTTGCATCATCCATTTTAATGTTTTCAACATTGTATTGAATTCGACAAGACAATTAAACAAAACATTTTTTTTTTAGGTAGTCGTACTGCTGATACTATTCGTCGTCAAGCTCAACGTGAACTTGAACAAGAAAAAGCACTTGAAAATGAATTTCAACGTGCACTTGATTTAAAAGAACATTATTTTGGCAATCGACAAGTATATTCAAATTGAATATTCTTTTTCTTATATATAAATTCTTTGATTTTATTTAAGATTAGTGTCGAAAGTTCTCCAGTAGTTGATCTTTCAAAATTTCTTTTTAAATGTCCTGATGTATTTGGTGATGATGTTTGTTTACCATACAATGATTTACAGCAACAAATAGAAAATACACTTCGATTACAACTTGATTCTGAACCTGTTGTTGCTGCTACACTTCTATTTTTAACATGTAATCAAAAAGATCAAGATAAAGTAAATGCTAGTAAAGAAATTATATGTAAATATTTCGATAATATTATTGCTAATCCCGATGAAGAAAAATATCGTCGAATTCGATTACAAAATAAAGTTTATCTTGAGGTAAAATTATATTCATAATTTCTTTTCTTTTTTTTTCTCCAAATATTCTAATTTGATTATGTTTTTTTTTTCATTTGGTTTTCTTAGAAAGTTGCACCATTAAAATATGCTTTTGAATTACTTCAATCTAGTGGTTTTATATTATCTGATGATAAAGAATCAATTATTTATCAAGAACGTTCTATTGAGCCATTACAATTAGCACGAGATACACTTATGAATGGTGAACCAATACAAATACAACTTGATAGAAATTTAAAAATTTTTCAACCAACTAAAGAACGTTCATCAGTACCACCTGTAGAACAATTACCACAAGATTCATTATTATATCAAACAACTGTTGGAGATATATTACGTGAAAAACAACGACAAAAAGATTTGATTGAAAAAGAAGAAATGTTAAGAACAAAGGCAATGCGTGAACGTGATGAAAAACCTGATCCATATGTACAATATAAATATACAGTTATACGTATACGAATGCCTAATGAAATTATAATACAAGTTATATTTCAATCAAATGATAAACTTTCATCTTTATTTGATTATTTACGTTCACATATTCTTGTACATAATTGGTTACCATTTACATTAATATTAAATGTTGATCGACGAGTTTATTCAAGTCAAGATGAACAATCAATAACATTTAATCAATGTGGTCTTGTACCAGCTGCTGTACTTTCATTTCAATGGAATGAACAAGCATTACGTGAAGTACAAGCACAAACACCAAATTTTCCGGCTAATGCTTTTATTAAACCTGATGTACTAGCAAATGCAAATCGACTGTGAATCGTCTTTTATTTTTCTTTTCTTTTTCTTTTTATGCGATCATATTTTAATATTATTTATTCCTATATCCTCTATATAATGTTTTTACAATGAGTGTAAATATATACATGTATTTCAGAAATTTAAAGAACAAAAAAAAAAAAAAGAAAGAAAAGATGATTGAAAAAATGATAAAAATGAAATCGGATGTATTGAAATTATTTCGAACGGCTATTGATGCTGTTGATCCATATACATGTGTTAAACATCATCTTGTTTTTAATAATCATTCAAATAATGGAATAACAGAATTACATATTGGAAATAATCATATCATACTTGATCATAATCTTTATATTGCGGCATTTGGAAAAGCAGCTATAGGTAGAAAAATATTTAGATATATTATTAATCAAAAATAATATATATCTTTTATATTTAATAAGGTATGTGTCGAGCTGTAGATGAACTTTTTCATGAGCATATTATCAAAGGTATTGCAAGTGTTCCTGTTGGTAGTATTGAACAAGCAAAAAGGAAAGATTTATACATATATATGTATGTATATGTACATGTTGATCGAAATTGAATTCTTTTAGAAATGGCATTTATTCATCATGGAATTGTTCATTTGATATTTATGAAGGTGCTGAACATAATTTACCCGATCAAGCAGCAATGAATACTGCTCAACATATTCAAACAATGATTTCAAATACAATGTGTGCTGATGATATTTTCTTAGTACTCATTTCAGGTGATATATTGTAGACAAAAAAAAAGAACAAAAGCAACTGATTTATTATTGTTATTGTTATTATTTATTTTATTCTGTATTTTCTTGTACAAGAAAGTTTTTTATCAACCGAACATGGGACCTGGATTTTCTGAATAGTCATCAAAACGTCGTTGTAATGGTTCGTGGTTGTATAATAATTCAGCCAAAATATTGTCTTCATTACTTGATGATGATTGAATATCTCTTCGTCGAACTGCTGAATGTTCAGGCAATAGTGAATGAGGACGTTTGCGTACAAAAATACCTAAATTTGATCCTCGAAAAAGAGGAATAGATGTACGCGCATGAGAATCAATACGACGTTTCAGGAAATTGTCTTGTTCTTCCAATAATGGTGATGATATAGCTGCTTGTTGAGTATAGATAACATAGCATACAAGTAGCAAACCTTCAATAAAATACAAAGAATAAAACAAAAAAAAAGAATTCATATTGATAGACTATTAGTAAGTTTTTACCAGTAACGCAGACGAGTTGCATGAAAGAGACCATGATGTGTTAAATAAAATGAAATAGTTTAGTGATGAGGATAAATGATCTGGTTGAAATAATATATGCTTCTATGTCTTGATTCTATCGTTTGTTTTATATAGATATAATAACTGTAAGATTTTATTTCTTTCTTTTTTCTTCTCTCTCTCTCTCTCTCTCTCTCTCTTTGTCTCTTTTTTCTTGTTTCTTTTTATGATAATAGTTAGCACGAAAAATATGAACGACATTAATGAAGATTTGAACAAATTATATTGCATGATATAATTTTTAATCGTATTTGAGTTTCTCATTTTCTTTTTTTTTGTAGTTCATTATTGAAGATATAAGTGCGTGTGTATAAGACAATTCGAGATGTGCTGCGTGATTTAGAAAATATTCGATCCTTTTCAAATAGATCGTGACATGCCCTTCAGATGACGTCAGTCCATCATCAAAATAAATAAATATATATATATATATAGAATCTTGAATGAAAAACTAAAATTTCGACCTGTCCAAGCGTGACAGAATCACGTTTTTTCACTTTGCTTTTTCAATATTTCAATGAAATGAAGTTGGATAAGGCTGAAATATTCACAGGTTATGTAAATCGATTTCCTCTACACATACTGAAAGGCTCATTAGATTTCAAGTTTCGGTATCTATTTTATGGTTGAAATATAGGCCGCGACGGAATCACCAAAAATGGACTTGAATTTTGAGTGTTGTGCAAAGAATTAACAAACTTAGCTCAACTATAAATGTAATGAAAAAAGTTTCTTTAGAAAAGTTATAGCTCTGATGATGAGTTACATATACAAAAAAAGAAAATTTGAAAAATACACAAGGCTTAATTTTGTAGACAGAAAAGGAGTCGTGACGGAATCACATTTTCGTGACGGAATCACATTTGAGAAATGAGGATGTTTTTCAACTTTAATTTTCTTCAAAAATATAAAGATAATCCCACAGAATAAACAATCCGATGTCGTGCATGAAAAAGCAACGAAAAAAAACATTTTAGGCCATTTATGTGATAAAGCAAAAATTCTTTTCGAAAGCGTCAGTGATATATTAAACATTGACATTTAAGAGGTAATGCACACCAGTCACGATCAATTCCAACAGAACCTTACTCAATTGATCTCATCAATCCGGCTGATATTTTCACAGTAGATACACCTAGTAAAGTTAGGAAGAAACTAAAAATTTCATCTCAAACGACTGAGTCATTATGGAGATATAGACGTTACAAGTATAGGTATTTAGACACATTTGTAGTATCTTCCAGAGCAATACTTTTCAGTTAAATTTGATTTTCTAAAGTACAACAAGAGTTATAACAGAGATCTTTTTTGCCATAGATGCTGTCGACCATATTCTATCTTTTTATGGGATTGAAAGTGTCGTATCGATTAATATTTTTTGGCTGATGCCATATGCCATTTGTAGATGTCATGTCCACTTTGGTACACGAAACTTTTTGAACAAGGCTAAAAAGGTCAAATTTACCATATGATTCTAACAATACCAATTGATGACTTATTCTCAAGTGTTCGATTTATGTGATTTAGATGAGAGCCTATATCAAGAAACCTCTAAAGCCCAAATTTCAACTCGTTTGGACATATTATGACAGAAGATGTACTTTTTCAAATCTTACTGGATGATATTCGATTTACCTAATTTTTCATACGTTTTTAGAAGAGAATATTCCTCAATGGCAAATCAGTTTTGAGTCAGAACTATGGGCATCATATTCCATGGACGATAGTATGTATGGTAAAAAAATCTTTGTTATAACTCCTGTTGTTCTTTAGAAAATCAAATTTAACTGAAAAGTATTGCTTGGAAGATACTACCAGTGTGTCTAAATACCTATACTTGTAACATCTCTTGTCTCCATAATGATTCACTCGTTTGAGATGAAAATGTTAATTTCTTCCTAACTTTACTATGTCTACCTACTGTAAAAATATCAGCCAGGATGATGATATCGATTGAGAATGGTTCTGCTGAAATTGGTCGTGGCTTACACGAAATGCCTCCTAAATGGCTTCTCCAACCCATGTGATAAAATTAACTAGAAACTATCATAAAATGACTCCAAAATTAGCTAATCGAGCTTTACGATCTGTTTTATACATGTTAACATCTCATTAGGGCCACAACTTCAGAGAAAGTTAATGTTTCCAAGTTTTGTGAAGAAAACCTAATCGTTTGAGGGTGATTCCGTCACGATCCTCATGACCAGCTGGAATGTTCATAAAAATAAGTAATCCATTGGTTGGATAGAGCGCAAAAAACTGTATTTAGAGTATTGCTTTTTAGAATGTAAAACCTAGTGCTCCTGACTAAAAATTAATTAAAACGAATTTTCGTGACGGAATCATCTTCACCAGTGTATTACCTTTACAAATGTAAATAATTTTCTGAGGAAATGACGAAACATAGTCCTGTTGCTATAATTAAGTAGAATATCGAAAGCATTGTTAGTTGGTGTGAGAGAGGTTTTAAACAAGATATATTTGTTTATATAAAAAATCCTCAAATAAGATTTTATAATAAACATTGACTTTTATCGCTTCTAAGACACATCTTCGTAGCACAGTTTTTTCTAAGAAATGTCGTAACTATGTAAATAAAAAATATATTTCGATATGTTATCAACATCGCTCTACACGATGGTCATATTGGTTTCAATTAATTGAGTAGGTCAACTTCGCCCACTAGGGTGTACTGTTACGTGGACAGACCGATTACTTTTGTTTTTAAATTTAACATGCTCGTTAAATTTTAACAAATGATTAATTTAGGTGGTGGTTCAGCATTACTACCGTTACCTATTGATGCTCTTTCACTAGAAGAAGAAATTCAACTAATAAAATTACTACAAAGTAAAGGAGCAAATATTCAAGAACTTAATACAGTTCGACAAGCTATGAGTCAACTTAAAAATGGTGGACTTGTTCGAATATCTAAAGCAACAACTGTTAGTAAATGCTATTGTTTATTTTGATTTTTTTGTTAATGTTGCATTGTTTCTATTTACATCTTTATTTTTCGAAAAAGATTATTGGATTAATTCTTTCGGATGTTATTGGAGATCCACTTGAATTCATTGCATCTGGTCCAACATTCTATAGTGGCAATAAGAATCGACCAGCACTTGATATTTTCAATAAATATGATCTTATCAATCATATTCCTACTCGATTTCTTCAACATTTAAAAGAAAATGAAAATACTAACAATGATCAAAATATGTGAGTTTATTTTGTCTACATACTAATTGATATGTGATAGTTTCCAATCAAATAATTGAACTGTTTTCGATCGCATCGAATTCTTTTTATCAGAACTAAAACTGATGTTCTTGAATTTCTTATTTAACTGTGTGCTAAAATAAAATTTAGCAGTTGACTAAACCATCTCACATGAAAAGAACTAATTACTAAACTTAGTTCATATGAGAAGAGCTGATAAGTAGTTTTCTTTTTATTTCAATTCTCATTACTTTTCTTGAACTAAGAGTTGTCAAACGCCCACATAATCATCAAAGAAAATCATTATCTATTTTTATCGTTGAAGATCTTCAATTAAACAAATTCATAATATTATTGTCGGTAGCAATCGTATTGCATTAGAAGCAGCTGCTCATTTATGTCATCAGTCACTCGCCTACGTTCCTTTTATTGCAACAACCTCTTTACAAGGTGAAGCACGCGAAGTTGGCCGTCGTATTATTGAA